TGGCGGCGCAGGAATGCAAAGCCACATTGGTATTCCTCTCACGTGCTGGATGTCACCATAGGAATTGAAGCACCACCTTTGTTTTCAGGGCAGGTGTGCAAGTCGCAGTTCACATTCCACGCACCGTGTGACCTTCCCAAAGGGCAGCTTTGAGCTGACATCCCACATACGAAAAATGTTAGGACGGATTTATCCTCACAGGGAAACAATGAGGAAAAAAAAAGATCTGGCTCTAAGCACTTCAATGGTGGAGTATTCAGCTCCTTTATGAGGCCACGTGCACACAGAAGAACAATGAGGGAGAACACCACAAACATATACATCTTTGTGACTGAATCTTACACAAACCTCACCCAAAAATCAGCACTGCTCCAGCCAGGCTGATTGAGTGGCAGCTCCCAGCAGGCAGCAAAACAGGCTTTCAGTCTCTCAAAAACAAGATGACAGAGTTGCCCTGTTCCTTCCTGGCCAGCATCATCGCTCCTATGTCCCCAACCCACTTCTGGGGGACGAGAGGTCCCAGGTCAACAAACACTCTTTATTTCCAAGGTCAATTTTTAACCAAAGCATGGGACACGGTATCACAACCCACTTCAACTATGATAGCAGACAACAATAAATGAGGTTATCTTACTTTATTCCCACATGGCTCCACTTTATTTGTGGAGAGCAGACACATAGGACCCACCTGAAATGGATGCCTAGTCTCCCACCATCTAATTCAGACAAGGCTGCCTGTCCACCAGAGCAGTATCATGACTGGAACATAAGAATTATTAACATACAGGACCTTAATTATTCTCTGTGCTTCTTCCCTAATGAAATACTCAAAAGGATGTGTGTCTTTTTCTTAGGGATGTGAAAAACAAAACCTGATCGCTTGATGCAGCATTTAGCATACAGCTTTTGGGAAAAAAGTACTCACTACGTAAAAACCTCCTGAATGTGGGGAAAAAGGTTAAGAGCTGTTATTTCTAACAGCCAAGAGGAAGCAGCCACTTTCAGTGCAAGCTTCCTGCTTGGTGCACAACATTTTGGACTCAGCAGCTCTTTGCCCCCCCATGAGACTAAAGCTAACAAAGAGCCATGCAGCCTATTAGTACAGCAGCGCAAAGGAGAATTATTTCACCAACGACAACAGTTACTATTGTTCCTTCTCCCTCAGAGAGAATGCGCTTTACAAACCGTGCTGACAGTATTTCAGCTCACAAGGTATCTATATATCCTCCCATCAATGACAACCTCCAGTTTTACTCACATTACACCGCTCTTACAACCAGTAGAAGTCACCATATCCCAACAGCTCTATGACAGAAGTTGCCCACTCTTGGTAGCCTTTTGAAAGGGTCTAAAACACCAAATAATCAAGATAAACCTTTTAGAATCAACAGAGTTCCATAAGCTATGTGCAAGCCATTAGTCAATGTGTCTAATTATCAGACAGTTTCATTTCTTTGGTTTGGAAACAATCAGAAAGACAACCAGCATTAAGTGCAACCCTGCAGCTCCCGTTTCACAACACGGGTCTTCCACCCAACCCGACACTGGCAAGTGACCCATGTACCAGGATCACAGCAGAGGTCTGCTAAAAAATTAACTAACTGTTCAACTTCGGTTGTTTTGTTGGTTTTTTTTAATGCCACTTCCTAACATGAAGAAATAAAAGAAGCCAGTCTGTCCCTTCCAGCTTAGCTTTATTTTCAAGCTCTTCTATACAATGTTCTTGCTGAAAATACACCACAGGGATATCGAAAGTACTTGAAAAATGTTTTTAGCTTTGATTCATTTCAGATTATGCCCCAACAAAGCTCTGGACACAATATACCACCTAACAGATTTTGAACAATTGCCACCTTAAAAGAAACCAACCTACCTCACCTCTGTAAAACAAAAATGACATGAAGTATGCACAGAAAGAGAAACTCTGAGGAGTTGTACTTGATTTGTTTTAAAACAAGACTGACAAGTTTGAAACCTATTTTTCAACCTGATTTGTTTTATCTTGCAAAGTTCAGGTATCTAAAGACTTAAGGACTCCTCAGCTGCTTACAGCAGGCTGTAATCTCCAGGTTCCAGTACATGGCTGGATTTATACCTATAGTATAAAAACAGAGAACCTGCCTCCCCAGTACAGCTTCCAGGGTAAGCTAAGGCATGTTTAGCTGGTCACGTCCATATGCCAGCTACAGTATTACAGGAAAATAAAAACTCTGCTCGGGAAACAAAGAAATCAACTCCAAAACCCCAAACAGGAACTATCCAGTGACTTACTGAGCTTTTAATCACCACCTTGAAAGCAGAAGACAAATCTCCCCTTATGTTCTATCCTGTGCCTCAACATTATAAAGCAACAAAGCAGCTTCTAAAGAAACAAAAGTATCAAATACTGGTATTTTCATACAGCCTTTGATAAAACGACCGTACATCTCAAGGCCAACTGATAAAGCTTCACGAGAGTTCAATGAAGAGGAGGTTGCTCACCAAGATCCACTTTCTCAATCCCAAACCAGTCAGACAGCCTTGACTGGTCTTACAAAACCCTCATACGAGCCACACTTTTGCCAAAGTGGATAGAGGCTTTGGCTAGATTACAAAACAAGGCTGTTTTTGGCAAAAATGCTTTCAAGATTGAAGAATTAGAATTTGACTGTGTTGGAATGTTAAGCCTGACCACCTAAAAGCAAAGCACTCCATCAGCCACTACTATTTAAAAGCTCAGCTGTACTGGAAAGATTTTAGTTTTCAAAAGCTGAATAAATTAGAATAATCGAAGCAATAAACCCCAAACAAATCCCAACGAACCTTTGGACTCGAGGGGCCACCTCTGGGTGTACTTTTACTTCCAGTTCCAGCAAGCAAGTCAATTCTCAATCATGAGAAGAAACCTTCCCCAACTGCAGTGTGGAGATGGCAAAGCAGTCGGGCAGCGACAGGGCAAAGCTGGCAGGTGAGATGACTGCTTCAGATGGCTGCGCTGCTTCTGGTTAGTTAAAATCACAGGAGACCACAGAGCCATGAGAGGGTCACCAGGAGTGCCCAATGGGAACCCCTGCTGAAGGGAACTGGCCAACGGCGACAGCTCAGAACCCCGCTGAGCCCTAAGACAGCTGCTGGGAGTCTCTGGAGCTACAGTGCCAGAGGTAGCTCCAAGCAAACCAGAGAAAAATTATGAAGAAATACAAGCCTTTATATCGCAGTCACTCATGAACCACAAGCAGGTTCTTGCAAGTTCTTCTAAAGCCTGTAACCTGTTTGTGGCT